AACTTATGTATAAACTCAATGGATTCAGTGAGAAAGAATGTATGAAAACAATATGGATCACATTTGCATTTTAAAAATCAAGTACCTTAGAATTAAGCTAACTGTGGCAGTTGCAAACATCTATGTTGAAAACAAATGGACTCTGAAAAAGAAAATTGAATAGGACATCAGGTAATGGTAAGATATCTCCTGTTCCTGGTTGGGTAGAAATAAAACTGTCAAAAGGACCAATATTAGCTAACTAACACAAATAATAAAAACAATCCCAGTCAAATGATTAACAGCCTTAGTCAGAGAAACAGAGAAAATAATCTATGAATTAATGTCAAACCAGAAGAAACCCAGAATGACAAAAACAACCTTGGGAAACAAGAACAAAAAAAAAAAAAAGACATCAGCATAAGTGACTTCAAGTTGTACTACCATGCAAGGATGATAAAAATATTATAAAACTGATACAAAAATAGGTACATCGTTCACTGTTGCAGAACACAGATATTGTCATCTCCTTAGAAATAATCAGCTAGGTGATCACTGACAAGGGGCTAAAAGCTCATGTTAGCAGAAAGATAAAAATTTCAACAACAAAGGAAGCCATCTTTAGAGAGAAGTGAAAACTGCAAAATATAAAATGAAAATGTCAGATAGCTGAGAGATAGCGACTAATACTTAGAATATGCAAACCACCAAAAATGAGACCACCCAAATTAAAAGACGTAATCAGAAAATGGGCAATTGAAGTGAATACACACTTCAAAGAAGTAGTACAAGCAGCCAAAAAATATGAAAAAATGTTCAACAATTGTATTAGAGAAATGTAAAATAAATCAATGCTAAGGTTTCATCTAATACCACAAAGAATGTCAATCATCAAGACATCAAGTAATGAACACTGGGGGGTGGCATTAAAAAAAAGACAAAACCTCCTACTTTTATGATTGCAATATAAACCAGTACAACCACTGTGAAAATCAATAGGGAGATTTCTCAAAGTACTAAATTTACAATTTCTATGTGACCTGATATTTCTCCTTCTAGGTATACTCCAAAGAGTACTAAAGGTATCATATTACAGTTACATATGCCTGACAATGTTTATTGGTACACAATGCATAAAAAACTGCATGTATGTTCATCAACTGACAAATAGATAAAGGAAAATATGGCATCTGTACATAATGAAATACTTCTTGGCTCCAAAGTAGGATATATTGGAGACATTTATAGTAAGATGGATACACTTGGAAAATAAAATGTTATGTAGAATAAATCACAAATGCAATCTTATATACTGTGTGGTACATCCCCTTTTAGCAAGAAAAGTTCAAATGAAGTAAAAAATAAAGGATTGGTAGCAGGACACATATAGACAGACCATTTGCAAACTAGTAAGGGTCAGGAAGACCAAGTGTAAGGGTCAGTGAAGGGTAGGGGAAGTGGAATTTTGCAACTTTAAAATAACTATAATAACAAAAGTAGTGAAAATAAGGAAAGCAGATTAAATTCAGAAAGAGAAAAGTGAGTGAGAAAGGAATAGAAAGTAACAATGAATCAAGGTGTATCATTGCATGTACCTACTCACTAAGATAAATGCAAACTGGTTATACAGGAAACATGTACCTAATAAAAAACTTGCACACATCTAAAAGGTTATACAAATTTCTAGCCTTATGCTCCAATTTTATGATATAGTAACCGCTTGAGCGTGATTACAATTCTAAAGGAATGAATTTCATGTTTATTAATGTTAACTTAAAATTCATAAAACTTACATCAATGAAATAAGCAGTTGCCTCTTTTTGCTCACTATATCTCAAGTGGTTGATAAATGGTTAGTTACACCTGACTAGTAGCTACTCAGTCGCATAATCTAGACATAGGGAATTCCTATTTGGTAGCACTGTCTAAAAAAACAGCTGAAAGAAAATTTATATCTAAAGGATTAATAACTTTGGTACAAAAACAAAACTTGCTATATTTGTAGTCTTACTTTGACAAGTACTTTAAATATTAAAATATTGTTGCCTTGTGTTTTACAGTTAAAAGGCTGAATGAACTGATGTTCATATATGCTGCTATAACCGGACACCTGAGACTAGACACTTAAGATACAATAAAAACTATTTTATGCTGTTTTGGAGTCTGAAAATTCCAAGATCACTGTGCAGTCATGGTGAAGGCTTGCTTGCTCCCGCTGCACTATCACAAGAGAAGGGTGTGAGGAGGAGGAGGTGGAATGGCAAAATAGAAGAGCTGTGGGTCCTCTTATAAGCTTAAAGTAAGAAAATCTTTGTGGTAGATAATACACTTTATGGTGTAAAATGAGTGTAAGTATTTGAGCTTTGAGCCTGGGAATTTAGCTCAGTGGTCCAAGCACCTGCCTTGCAATTGTGAGGTTGTGATTTGGGTCCCCAGTAACACACAAAAACAAGTATTTGTGTTTTTTGGGTAAGCACAGAAAGTGTGAACTCAAACTTTCAAATCCTTTTCATAAGTGCCCTTATTTTATCCAAGAAGCATATATTCACTGACTTAACTTTCAAAAATCCTATTACCTAGTATTTTTGTGTTGTTGATTCTCATTCAACATATTAATGTGGTGGAATGTTCAGATAACAGCATCTCCTTTCTCCTTAAAAAGAGTAGACTATTTCAGTGTCTTCAGGGTAATGAAGATAATAATCTTCATATTTGTGTAGACATGTATGAATTCATAAGTGATACAAGAAATGTTGGGATCTTTTCAATAACCACATATATTTTCATAAATATTTATTTACCTTTCTGAGCAAAGACATCCATGTCAGTAAAATTATCTAGTTCCAATTCTCCATTACATTTCTGCACGTGGTATGACTGCTTTTATCTTGGAAAATTGAAGAATTTTTTAAAAATTTAAATAATGTAATTTTCTTAGAGCAGTGTTTTCTGGCCTTTATAAGAGTAGGTAAATGTATATTATTAAAAGATCAGTGTCATGTTGAAAGCATTTACTTTTCAAAAGGAGCTTTATTGAGATATATGTATATAGCAAAGAATCTTTGAAAGAAGAGTTCCCTTTAGGGCAGAGGGTTCGTTTTCTTGTTTTTTGAACAGATTAATGAAAACACCTACTTCTGGGGCAGTCCCTAAAAACTGAGATTGCTCAGCTGTGGCACAAACTCACTGTGAGTTCAGCAATCACTTGGTCTGTTGCACAACTTTTCCTCAGGATCTAGCAGGCAAAGACACCTGACATGACTGAAGCTTATTATGTTTGCTGTGTTGTGACTAATCATGCCAACTGTGTTTAATACACGAATCTATTTATTTATTTTTACCAGGTATTGAACTCATGAATTCACATTTGCGAGGCGGGCACTTGTGTCACTGAGATAAATCCTCATACCGTGAATGTTCCTCTACCAACTTCCAAAAAATGCAATAGGAGCTAGGCATGGTGAGTTCTCCTTTAATCCAAGTACTAGGGAGGCTGAGACAGGTGGATCCTTGCAATCAATACCAGCCTGAGATAAAAAGGAGTTCAAGGTCAGCCTGAACCACATAGATAGACCCTATTTCCAAAATAAAAAAAAATGGGACAGGATAATCAGTGGGCTTGCAAGCTATACTTTAAATCATTTTGGTAAAAAGAATACAAATTTGAGTCCAGTAACTATACCTTGAGAAATCATCTACAGCCCAAGGGATGGTGCGTTGATACATGTTTGTATTGTTATTCTTTACAAGCTGCATTTCAAATGAAAGAAAAGTCCATAATAGAACATCAACTTTTCACCTTGTAAACCGTGTGGAAAACTAGCACACATAATGACATTATCTAAGTTATTGTCATCTCTAAAGAGTATTATTTATTCTGTTGTCCCACTAGATAAAAAAAAACACCATTTTCAAGCACAATCATCTTTCGTTCTCATTCTCTTGACCACTAGAATTCTGATGTTCTTGACAAAATATATACACATCTGTTAATTAATTTTACCAAAAAAGTGTTTACTGTTACAAGCAGTGTCAAAGACATTGGTCCCCATAAAACACAAACATTACATGAATTTACAAATAGCTATCCATAGAATCTACATGGTTGGTGCTACTATTAAGCACCATGACCTGTTGAAAGCTTTCTGGGGATTAAATTTCCCAAGCCCAGTCTCACATTAAAGTTAAAGATGAAAGGATTAACCTTTTACTTTAATGGAGTGGTCCTCCTTTGGGTACTCATGCTGTTCTTTTCCAGTGCATCAATAAACTTTCAACTTGTTTATATTGCTTGACTATTGGTAAATTCCTATGCCAGCTGTAGCACTGGTGTTCAACATATCACACCTAGCATGGCTAATGGGAGAAAGCCAAAACGGGGCAAGTGAAGTGTATAAAAGGTGCAACAGAAGTAGAAAACTGGAAATGAAACATTATACTTTTTAAAATTCTAGATGCATTTTGTATTTTGATAAACCTGAACTTCAAAATACAGGACATGAGTAAATACTTATCTTGGGGCAACCCAAAACCTCTAAATATGTAGGTGCTGCAAATTAAAATAGATCCTTAACTGGCTTAGAAACCTTCTCTAAAGTTTTCCTACCTACTGGCTTTTCTAGAAGATTTTACACTAAAAATACTCCCATAGCAGGGTGAAATCGTTCTTCTAGTGCCAAAGCAAATACCCTCTCTTGCTTTTGCTTTGTTTCCCAATGCTAAATCAATAAAGAAATTCTTCATTTGAATTTAAATCAAAAGAATAATTTCCCTCCTAATCCCAGAGGATGTTACATTGTTACAATTTGGTTTCCAACTAATTTGCGTTTCCCTTCTCCACCAATCACCCATTCTAGTCTTGCATCCAGTCCTTCAACACCTCAAAACATATATCCTAATATGAATCATGTGCAATGTGTACCCCCAAAGATGAGGAAGATGTGTGAAAAATGAGAGACAACTAATTAATTGAACTGCCAATTTTCTGTTTATTATTTTGGTGAAGAAGTTTGATTTTAAAATTATGTGGCATACTTCTCAGTCCATTTTCTAGCCTGTCTCTCATACTCTCTCCGGTTCTTTAGGTACACCTTGGCAATTTCGGGGACCAAAGGGTCCTTTGGGTTGGGGTCGCACAACAAGGAGCAGATAGATAAGAGTAGTTTGGAGACTGTGAGCGCTGGAGACCATTGATCCTTGAGCACGTCTAGACAGATATTTCCATTTCTACCAATATTTGGATGATAAATTCGGGTGGTGAACACTACCTTGGGAGGTTTGAATGGATAATCTGAAGGAAATTCCATTTTAAGGAAGAAGACACCTCCCTGGTAGGGGCTGCCATCGGGACCTATTATGGTCGCTTGCCACTGGTACATGTCATCATCCACAGGCCCGGCAGAGCAGTTGTCTGGTGGATCACGAGACAGATCAAGGAGCTCGTTTTGAAGACGCTTTAAAGAAGACATTCTCCTCAACTCTTGGTGCGTAAAGTTAGGTTCAGTTCTGGGTATGTGATGCAGAGCGTTGGTATTGCTGAGTCAAAAGGCACCACAATAAGAGGCCAAGTCCACAGGTGCTTGATTTGTGGCGTGGTTTTCTTCTGGTTGTAGAGTGTCCCTGGAAAGGCGAGCAGGAGTGGAGAGGCCAGTAGAGGAAAGTTGGTGTCTAGTGATCCACTTCACTTGAGTTGCTGCTGGACACCTGTGGCTAGGAGCCACTGACTGTCGATGTGATTTAAGTAGCTTGAGCGATAATCAAACGCCCAAGAGGAGGCTACCTGATCAGAGGGTGTTGCTAAAGAGGCCAGAGCTCCTACCTGGGGCAGCCCACTGTTGCTAATCCTTGAACCTAGGGCCCAAGCAACTGTTGGGGATCTAGAATGTGAGGTAATAGAGGTCACGCAGAGACTGTGTCACACACAGGTAGGCGGGGCTGAAGCAGGTGGGTTGAGGGCAGAGCAAAGAAGAGGATTGGCCTTGAAGTTGGGGGTAGCTGACAAATCTCTCACCCAGCCATTGCGTTTTGGACTGAACAATAGAGCCTCACAGTCACCAAAACAAATAAAATGATTTCCATGAATTATCCCCTATATCTCACTCAGTCCCCTTTTCTTAGCATTATCTTAAACTCTCTTACCTTTGAGAGTAAGTCAATCACACCATCAGCCTCACTTAACTGTGTATGTTTCCCAAGACACATAATCTCAGTGTAAATAACTGTAGCAAATTTAATATTCAAAATATACTTCTGAAAATCTTTGTACGTGCTGGAAAATTCATGTGTTTTTTATCAAAAATATCAATGACTTAAAATAGATACAGTCATTACACCTAATCTAATACTTTGTGTGTATTCATTTTGTCAATTGATAAATCATACTCTTGATTTTTTAAAATCCCTCTTGTAAAAGATTCAAGCTAGGGTTAGGTATATTGTTCCTCATTGTCATGTCTTTTTAGTGTCCTTGAGTCTAGAACTTTGCTACATTTTTCTGTATCTATTTTATGTCACTGATATTTTTGAAAAATGCAGCCCGTCCCCCACCCTACACACACATTGGTGAGTCCTAAAAGTTTTCATAATAAACTTAGTCAATTTTAAAGACAGAAAGAGAAAAATGAAAATCATTGCTCAGCTTTGCATTATGAAGCTTGTAGTGATGTTAATAGTACATAATGAGGTGTTCTCTTAGGCGGCTAGTTTCATTGATTTTTGTAAAAATACGCTTACTTACTTTCTTTCACATGGAATTTGTTGCTGGTGCTTTTTTAGTTTTTATATTGGAGATAAAAATACATGTCCTTACACTTGCTAGGCAGGAACTTGTGCCACTGAGGTAAATTCCCAGCCATCTTCACAGGAAATGTTTGTCTCCCAGTTTTCTATGAAAAACTGAGTAACTGGTAAATCTGATGATTACATTTCCAACAAGTGTAAGAAGTGGAAATTTCATGTTGTGTGGAGTGGTTTCAGGTTAATTTCTATGTGTGATAATATTCTAAATATGCTTTGAGCACATTTATTCCATTGCTCTTGTCACTTTCTGAGGCAGTTTTGCAAGTCCTCATTTGTGTGTGTTTAAATGCATTACTCTTCCTGAATCCACTCAAAACTTTTACAATTCATGGTACTTTTGACTCTGAGAAAGAGGCAAAAATCACAAAGGGCCATTTACAGTGGTTGAGAACACTGCATACTTTACACATGAACCTCTCTTTCTGTTGGCTGGCACTCGCAGAAGTAGAAATCATTGTATGTTTTTTTTTTTTATTTTTTAAATAGATTTCTTAAAGTGAACTATATATACATATATGTATATATGTGTATGTTTATGTCTGTATTCTCAAACTTTAATTGAAATACTATTTTAGGGACTCCGGGAGAACATGGCGGACAGACAACAGCAACTACCGGAGGCTCTCTGAAAGGCTCGGCTCAGAGGCCAGGAATGATGCGGACTAAAGAGACACGAACCAGTAGAGATATGCTCTGCTGACTCAGGAACGAACTGGGCTGAGAGAAACCAACTTAGAATACAGTCCTGGCGCTAAAATAGGAACAGAAAAGACTCGGTGTGGAGGCTCGACCCCGCGCCATTGGAAGCTGCGGTTTGGATTTCCCGCCGCCCGGCGGCTAGCTGCCTCCGCAAGCGGCTCGGCAAGGAGAGACGCGCAGAAGCTCTGGGAACAGGAGTCTGCAAACGGAGTTGAAAACAGGATGGGCAAGGAGGCGTACACGAAAACTGACTGGTGGAGAGGTGAGTGAGAAACTGACCCCCCTACCACTGTTTGACTCCAGCGGAGGACTTTCTGGGCTCGGGCAGTCCTGTAAGATCAGGGCGCAGTGGCGACTCCAGCCACACATTCCCCTCTCGGACGGGATTGGTGAAAAGTGCCTGGCCTGCGTGACGCTGCTGGCGGACTCCCTAGGCTGGCCTAACCCAGATCCCAGAGCCTGACGGTGGCCCGGAGGAGCAACTGACTCCCGCATAGGCTGCCTCCTCCGCAACTCCCTGGTGCGCAGCGGTGGGCGGGAACCACTAGCCAGCGCAATTTGATCAGGCTGTGGCTGACAGGCAGGGAAGCCGGGCCTCCTATGTAAGCTTGCATTTTATAAGGAACAGAAAATATGGGGAAGGGAAGCAACAAGAAAGGCTCCTCAGCCCCCAATTCTGAGAAACAGGCAATAGTGGACACCGCACCAATATACATTAAGCGCCATATAGAGAGCCTCATAGACCAATTCAGGAATGAAGTTATCAACGACCTGAAGCTAGATGTATGCAGAATAGTTAGAGAAATGCTAAGCACCACCCAGGAAAAAACAGATGGTGGAATGGAAGAACAGAAAAAGAGGGGAGAATTGCTTGATGGAGAAAACAGAGAAAGCATTGAGTATGTGAAGCAGGTTCAAAGGGACTATCAAGAAATTAAGAAGTCCATCCAAGACTGGCATAACAGCTTGAAAGAAACTAAGGACAGACTATCTGAGCTGGAGGGCAGACTTGTAATATGGGAGAATGAAATGAAAAACTTCTTAAAAATAACAAAGAAACAAAGAGCAATAATACAAAGACTAGAAGATGATAAGAGGAGCCATAATTTAAGGATTAAGAACATAAAAGAAGAAGTAGGGACACAAACAAGTGAACTACAAAAGCTACTCACAGAAATAATCCAGGAGAATTTTCCTAATTTAGCAAAAGGTAAAGATACTCAGATGTATGAGGCATACAGGACCCCAGCTACCTACAACCCAAACAGAGCAACACCCAGGCGTATAATAATAAAAATTCCAGAAATTCAATACAAGAACAGAATATTAAAAGCTGTAAGAGACAAGAAACAGACTACTTACAAGGGAACACCCATCAGAATTACAGCAGATTTCTCTTCACAAACCATCAAATAACAAAGAGCATGGGGAGAAATAATTCAAGCTTTGAAAGATAATAATCTCCAGCCAAGATTGAGATATCCTGCACAACTGTCCCTGGAAATTGATGGAAAAACGAGGTGCTTCCAGGATAAAGAGGAACTGGGGGAATTTGCAACTACCAATTCAACCCTACAGAAAGTATTGCAGGATATTCTAAAAAAAGAAAAATACAAAGAACCCAGAAATAGTGGCGGGGAGGCCACAACGAATGGAGCAGAGAACAAAATGAAGAAGACAAACTGACAGCTACTGACAGAAAAAGAGCTCAACAGAAATGAGACAGAGAAGATTGGATGATAGGAACATCTATTTTGGAGAAAATGACATCTTAATAGGTAATACTGATTTAGTACCATCTTGTTTTGAAGTCTCATCTAGCTTTTGTTCTTCTGTCTCCAATGGTCTAAACAGGTTGTATCTTATGGAATTTTATTATGTATGATAGTATAAGCAAAAACCTTTTAAAGACAAGGAGATTATACAGAAACCATTGTTCATTTTCTGTTAGTCGATTCTAAATACTCTATAATGCTGTCATTCTCTTAAATGGTTTTACATTGTTTTGATATACTTAATGCTACAGTATACGAAGTTGCACTCAAGGACTTCAAGGAAAGAGTCAATATGGTAACTACTTTTGGGTCGGAAATATCTGGTGGTGAAACACTATTCTACTTAAATGGTTATGTTTTGATCTGCCCTGTTTCGCTGTTATGCCCTCTTTTTTCTCAATCTCCACTCCATTATTTACTTTTTTATTTTTATCCATTTAATTTAGGGGAAAAAATAGCAGGATATAATATAGTAACCCACTTTGACTTTCTATTATCTCGATTTGAAGCCCTGTATTACTCTCACCATCTTGTTTTTGACTGAGGTTCCTCTATTCTGTTTTGCTGGATAGTATCAGGTTCGAAAGTTTAGGCATCAGCTGAGAAGATAATGAGATTCATTATAACGCCCATTCTCGTTGACTTTTATCTACTTTTGAAGACCTACAATGTCTCCAATGTTTTGGTTTTGTCGGTTTTATTCTTTACTGTTTTGTTCAATTGTATTACAACTAATGATATAGGCAATTCTATTAGAAATAGCGGGAGGCATTATGGTAACCATTGTTGATCACCTTGTATTATGTTTTTATATTATCTATTATGTCCACCCTTTTGACTTGACCGATTCTGTTCTGTTATGTCACATTTGGTTTTACTCTCTTCCAAAAAAGCAATAAGAACCGTGGGAGCAATGAAACCCAAAATGTGTCATAGTCATTGTACAAAAGAGAGGAAAAGAAAGTGCTCTAAACTATATAACTGCATGTATATTTAAGTGTATAAGATATAAAATGATATCACAGAGTTTTATTGGATCATTGAACAGAACTGTTTGCAGTATCATTGTTGGAATGTCCACTCTACAAGCTTTAATTTTGTGACTTGAACAATTATTTCTAAGATGGCAATATGTAATCCATTAACTAGTGATTTCCTACTGCACATTTTTTCCTTCTGTAAATCTGTATAACTTGTACCCCTTCACTGTTTTTTTTTTCTTTTCTTTTCTCCTTAAATAAAAAAAGAAATACTATTTTAGTAAAATTACTAATATAATATGATGTATAATTCTCATCCTCCTCTTTTCCTTATTGTTCTAGTACTTGTATTTCTCATTTACCTCTTTCTCCTCTTCTTCCCTCTCCTCTTCTCTTTCTGCTTCTTCCTTCCCTCTCTTTACCTCTCCTTTGTCTCCTCAAACTCCCCATCCCCACACCTTTCCCTTCTCCACCACTTCTCCCTCCTCTACTTTCTCATTATCCTATTCTTCCTTCTTTTCCTCCTCCTTATGTATTTGTTTCCTAGGAAATCTAAAAGAAAGAGCCAAAA